CTTCAACACAGAGCGTCTTCAGAAGACAAGTTGATAAAATAAATGTTAAAAATCTGTATTGTTTTATACAAGTGTGTGTTGAACCTAAAGCTCTGTTTGATACAGGTACATGTGTTGTTGCAGCACTAACACACATTTAACTTACTCAATTTTCAACTGATTTTAAAAGGGTTTTGTTTGGGCCGGGGTAACCCTAGTGTATATACAGTATGTACTGTATATGTATATGTATATGTATATGTATATGTATATGTATATACATTAAACTGTGTAGTGAGGCTTAAATACTTCTTTGTTTGACTCCCTGCATGCATTAGTCCTCACACTCACTGTAAATGAGACAAAATAAATTATTACACAAACCTTTGTCAACATGTTTGTGTTGTTTATTTTATTTAGACACACGAAAGATTAAAAAAACATCTGATAGTGCTCTCAGACGGAGAATTTTCAGAGAAATATTTTCTGATGAATTTGTTTTTCTGATCTATTCAAAGAGAGAAAAACAAAACCTCATGTTTTGTAAAAGATAATAAATTATTGTAAACTAGCTTTGTTAGGCTGAAAACAGATTATTTAAGAATTACAACTCTCCATCAGCCTTTGATCACTTTAACAAGCAGGTGTAGTTGTGAGTGTGACACAACTATGAATATGAAACATGAATAAAACTTTTTAAAAAAGACAAACTTCAGTCTGATGACTTTAAATCATTTATAACTCTTATTGTAAATCTGAGTTCAGTGAATTACACAGGTTGGTGTAAAACTCAGCTCAGTGTACTCACCACAGCTACAGCTGGTGTTGCTGACTGTCCTAAGATGGCCGCCGTGTGAGGAGACTCTATGTCGTATCTAGCCTTTATATATATCTATGGTTAGCACGCCGTGGCGCCTCCTCAGGTACCATGACAACAGCGCTGACTCACCACTTTGCCCACGGCCTCCTTGGCCTTGTCCAGCTCCTGCCGGGCGCGGTCCATCAGGCTCTCGGCGTCGCGGACCCGGTCCCGGGCGCGGTCGGCCTGGGCGCCCGTGTCCTCCACCGTGTTGCGGATGTTCTGCAGGCGGTTCCACTGCGTGGTCAGCGTGTTGTTGATGGAGCTCAGGCGGATCAGGAGGCCTCGGTCCAGGTCTGCAGGGTCAGAACCACCTCATGGGTTATTTAGGTCTGGACTACATGCTGGGTCTGGGTCCAGCAGGGTTCGGGTCCGTTACCTTTGCTGGTCTGAGCCTCCTCCAGCAGCTCCATGATGGCCCTCTCCGCCTCCTTCAGCCGGTCCTCGAAGGCCTGATCGCTGACCAGGTCCTGACCCGAGCCCAGGTTGTCGATCAGACTCTGGAGTTCCTGGAGCTTCTGCCTCTGCTGGTTCACCTGGACCCACAAACAGAACTTTACCCATCAGAACCTCAGAACCCCAGAGAGGTGGTCCTTCAGGTGGTCCTCACCTTGTCCCGGACCAGGCTGTAGCAGGAGGGGCACTGCTGGCAGCCGGGCACCGAGCGGTTGTAGAAGTAGTTCTCCTCACACATGTCGCAGCGAGCGCCCACGAAGCCGGGCCGGCACTCACAGCGCCCGTCCTCCTGACACTGACCTGAGCGAGAGCCTTCAGGGTCACAGTCACAGGCTGCAGAGAGAGGGCTTAACGTCAGCTAAACATCAGCTAAAGTTCAGCTGAATATCAGCTAAACATCAGCTAAACATCAGCTAAAGTTCAGCTAATACCAGGAGCCTTCAGGGTCACAGTCACAGGCTGCAGAGAGACAAAAAGAGCTGTCCTGATTTTCTGCTGAGTCATGATGTGACCAGACGGGGGCGCTCTGCTCACGTTTGCATCCCGACGGGCTGAAGCCGAAGAAGTTGACCTCGCAGCGCTCGCAGTGCTGACCCGTGACGCCTGGCTGACACTCGCACTGTCCAGAGATGATGTCACACAGCCCGCTGGTGGAGCCGATGGCGTTACAGTCACACCTGCAGACAGGACAGCAGAGGGTTAACACCTGGCACCGGGCGCCGGCGGGACGGAGCCGCAGTGAGAACTGACCGTTTGCAGCCGTCGCCGCTCCGCAGGTCGAAGAAGCCGGCCTGGCAGGCGCTGCAGTCACGCTCGATCACGTTGGGCAGACACGAACACTGACCTGTGACCTGAGAGCAGCTGGTCTGCTGGTTCACAGTGCCCAGGGGGGAGCAGGAGCAGGCTGGGGGGCAGCAAGAGGAGGAGAGGGGAGGAGCAGGAGGAGAGGGGAGGAGCAGGAGGAGAGGGGAGGAGCAGGAGGAGAGTGGTGGAGCAGGAGGAGAGGGGAGGAGCAGGAGGAGAGGGGAGGAGCAGGAGGAGGAGCAGAAACAAAACATCCGTCAGACCCATCTGAGTCAAACTTCATTTGTTTAAGAACAAAATGTATGTATGATGTATGATGACATCATAGCTCCGCCCAGTGAACGTGAGTGGGAGGAGCCTCAGCCTCGGACTCTTACCTCTGCACTTGTCTGCGGGGTCGGAGGCCAGGGCGTTGCCGTAGAAACCGTCCTTGCAGTGGTCACAGAAGAAGCCGTCGGTGTTGTAGATGCACTTCAGGCACTCTCCGGTCTCGCGGTTGCAGTTCCCCACGGCGTTGGTGTCGATGTTGTTGCTGCACTGGCAGGCCCGGCAGGCTCGGACCGGCCCGTTCTGACCCAGAGGGTCCCCGAAATACCCGTCGTCGCAGAGCTCACAACGCTTACCTGCACACAGGTGAGGCCCGCCCTTTTAGCTTCAGAAGGTTTTCAGAAAACACCGAGCAACAAGTGTCTGAGTGCGGTACCTGTGGTCCCGGCAGGACAGTTGGTGCAGACCACCTCTCTGGTTCTGGGGACCACCGCACACGTGGCCCCCGTGGGGCAGGGACACGCCTGACAGTCGTTAGGTGTCCCCTGAGTGGCGTCGCCATAAAAACCATCCTTACAGCGCTCACAGCTCAAACCAGCCGTGTTGTCCTGACAGTCACACGCTCCTGGATACACAGATCAGCTAAACATCAGCTGAATATCAGCTAAACATTAGTCTAATATCAGCTAAACATTAGTCTAATATCATTAGTCTAATATCAGCTAAACATTAGTCTAATATCAGCTAAACATTAGTCTAATATCAGCTAAACATCAGCTAAACATTAGCCTAATATCAGCTAAACATCAGCTGAATATCAGCTAAACATTAGTCTAATATCAGCTAAACATTAGTCTAATATCAGCTAAACATCAGCTAAACATTAGCCTAATATCAGCTAAACATCAGCTGAATATCAGCTAAACATCAGCTGAATATCAGCTAAACATCAGCTGAACATAAGCTGAATATCAGCTAAACATTAGTCTAATATCAGCTAAACATCAGCTAAACATCAGCTGAAAATCAGCTTAACATTAGCCTAATATCAGCTAAACATCAGCTAAACATTAGCCTAATATCAGCTAAACATCAGCTGAATATCAACTAAACATTAGTCTAATTTCAGCTAAACATCAGCTGAATATCAACTAAACATTAGCCTAATATCAGCTAAACATCAGCTGAATATCAGCTAAACATTTTTTGAACATTTAAACCCAGAGTTACTGATAAACCCAGAATTACTGTTAAACCCAGAATTACTGTTAAACCCAGAGTTACTGATAAACCCAGAGTTACTCTTAAACCCAGAGTTACTGATAAACCCAGTTACTGATAAACCCAGAGTTACTGTTAAAACCAGAGTTACTGATAAAACCAGAGTTACTGATAAACTCAGAGTTACTGTTAAACCCAGAGTTACTGATAAACCCAGAGTTACTGTTAAACCCAGAGTTACTGTTAAACCCAGAGTTACTGATAAACCCAGAGTTACTGTTAAACCCAGAGTTACTGTAAAACCCAGAGTTACTATAAAACCCAGAGTTACTGTTAAACCCAGAGTTACTGATAAACTCAGAGTTACTGTTAAACCCAGAGTTACTGTTAAACCCAGAGTTACTGTTAAACCCAGAGTTACTGTTAAACCCAGAGTTACTGATAAAC